GTCCATGACCTCAGCCCGACACTTTTCCTGGTGCTCGGGGTGGCCGGCCAGGGCATAGAATATCCAGGAGATCCCGCTGGCTGTCGTGTCGTGTCCCTCGAACATGAACGTGTCCACCTCGGCGCGGATGTCTTCGTCTGACAGCCCCTGCTGGTCCTCGTCCTGCAAGAGATGGCTATGCTGTAGAAGCAGTACTGTCATCTTAACAATTTTACATTTCCCATCTACAACAGCCAGGCTGTTTTTCCCCCACATATTAAATACCAGTTGTTTATGATTAATTCTTTAATTTGTTACATAGGGAAAAAATGGTCAGTGAACTGGTTGGTAAACTGGTACTTGTGGTCATCATAAAAAAAGAATTCCTGACATCTTGCTGTGTATGTTTTTGTAGTTTCTCTCCAAAATAAACAGTAACATCATTGTTTATATAACCTACAGTAAATCTACAGCTGGAATCAGGACGACACATTGGAAACGTACTGTTGCACACAGCAAGATATCAAGAAAGTCCAGGTTTCTCTTCTTCTGTTCTGCTCCAAGTTCCCTTTCATTCTTCAGAGCCTCCTTCCTTTGTTTAATGACCTCCTCTGAAGTGAAAACAACAAGGAAACCACTCACATGTCACGTGTTTATCTTTAAAACCCAGGGCACCTTACCCTTGACTTGTAATTGACAGTCTACAACATCACCCGTTAGTAGGCTTACAGTTTTATGGAGCATTTACCTGCTACTGACCTGTGTGCTCATGTGCTATCTTGCAGGCCTTCCGGAATCTGTAACCATGTGGGCTGAGGTAGAAGATTATGTCACTGTGGTAAGGAAAGGTGCGGGACCGAAGGTTTATAAGGTAACTCAGCTCGTAGACGGCCTGAATGTAGGAGTTGATGCCACTAGAGGGGAAGGAAAAGGAAAAAAGTGCCATAAAACAGTAAATCAAGCTAGAGATCCAGTTAGCATTCTGATGGTTCTATCCATCTATGAAGGCACACATCAGCTGAGGCATCATAATGAGTTGCCACTAAACCTTCTAGGCTGTATATTTTACAACATCGGACTTGAGTGTGATCTGGTTTCCATGGAAACCACCTTTGGTTTCCTGATGTTGACCTCTTTGTTGACATGGTGCACTGCACTGGCAGGTGGTGTTATAAAGAGGGATTGAACTTTGGAAGTAAACAAAGAAAATGAACTTGTGCCGACTTACCTTTCGGTCTGACAATTGCTTCTGCAGCTGAACGCGCACTGCATTATGCTGTCCAGTGTCATCAAGCTCACGTGATTGAAAAGCTCGAATGGCTCATCCTGGTCGGCGTAAACCTCCCATTTGTCCTGAAGAAGAAAGTGACCCAACTCAACTCTAACACCAGCGAGATGGGATGTGAATTGTACGGCTCTTGCAGAAAAAGATTCAAAAGGAAAAGGGAAAATTCAACTCTATAGCCCTAGATATGCTTTTAGTGATCTGAAGCTTTGTTTTAATTCCAGATGCTCTTGTTTCTTTGATCAGTGAGTATAACAGTTCAGGGCAATACATGAGCATTTATAAATGCTGAGGACTGCAGACTTATTTTGTGGTTATACATGACATACCCATAAGTACTAGAAAGTATAAATATAGTTATGTAAATATTGTATGCAAAATAATCATTAATATGGCTTGTTATAAAGTCCTTATGTCAGGGTCAGGGGTGGCCAATCTTATCCGCAAAGGGCCGGTGTGTATGCAGGTTTTTGGGATAACCTGTAGGTCAACCCAGGTGTGAGGACTCTTCAGCCAATCAGTCCTGTAATTAGTGACCTAATTAGTTGCAGCGAAAACCCGCATACACAATGGCCCTTTGCAGATAAGATTAGCTACCCCTGCCTCATGTGGCACCCACTTTACAAAATTACTACAGTACAATAAAGATGGCCGACATTTTACAAGCCTTTCAGAATCTGAGGAAATGGGACGCAATTTCTGGCGCATGGACACACCAGCATGGCTCTTGCAGATTCAGCCATGAGTGTAACATAATGCTTCAGGATGTCATAATGGAAGCCAGGGGTGAGCAGTCTTCTGTGGAGGAACCATTTCTGACCTTGTGACACAAGCAGACCATTCCCTGCAAAGCAGATGGAGGACGGGTGAGTCGGTGTCATGTCCGATTTAAGCATGGTACCCTGTACTACTGCCCTGAGCAGTTATTACCTGCCTGAGATCTAGCACTATGCAGCCATGAATGCATGCATGATGAATTCGTTTTAAATCTTCCGAAGTTCTCCTACACCTCACCATTGTTACGGTCCCCTTGCACTGGCTTCCTGTAGCTGCCCGCATCAGATTGAGAACACTGATGCTCGCCTACAAAGCCAAAAACGGACCAACACCCACCCTACTACCTAAAGGAACTTCTCACCCCGCCACTACACTACACTCTCTCCGAGACACACACTCTCTCTAATTAATATTGCATAATGGAATGCATAATTTGTTATATATTTTGCTACAAGTGAAATTAGCGTATCATACCTATCCATGGAATAAGGAAGTTGTATGCAA